CTGTGATAATTGATGTTCTTTGAGTACTTTACTCGCTATAATATCAATTAATTGTTTCACTATTTATAAAAATCTGGTTCGCAGAACGGGTATATGGTATTTTTTATAATTTCTATAAAAATCTCGAGATGAAGAGATAATAAAAAATACGTAAAGTATAATTAAACACCACTTGAAAAAAAAATTAATTGCGAGAAAAATTACATTTTTATGAGCATTCTTTTTCTTTTTTCACTTAAACGAGGAAAACCATTTAATGAAGATAGCCATTGTAGTTAATAATACAGTAATTGTAACATTTTCAATTAATTTATAAAAACTAGTTAAAAATAATTGCAATATATGATTATTATTATTATTTTAACGGCGTTCATTTGTTGTTTTTGTGTTTTTCCGATTTGTGAAGACTATAATAATTTTATAAACACGTCGAGTCTGCTATTACCTGTACTGTTTTGTTGAAAAATAAATAAATAATAAACATTTCCATTTGCCTATTCTGATAATTGTTGTGTCAAAACAGTATTTAAATAAATAATTGTGAAACTGTGAACCGAAAGACCGTGCAGCGTAGAGTGTATATTAGTATTTGAAGAGCATTTAAATATTCAATGTATGCAACAATAAGCACGCGTTGAAGTTTTAAAGTTCAACAACATATTATCAATATTATTTTTGTTACAGAATCACGTTAGTACCCATACATTGTATTATACATATATATATTATGGCCAATCACTCGTAATGCTTCGAATCGTCTCGTACGTAACTGACACAATATTATGTACTAAAAAAATCAACCTGATATTAATATTTTTCTTCTGCTACTAATTTTTCATCCCATCAATTAATCAATTTTTTTCTTTTCTTTTCTTGTTCTTCCACCCATCAGCTTCTTCTTTTACCGCCGAAGTCTGTACTATTATGCACATCCTTCAATCGCTTTTTTTGATAGAAACCTTTTTTGACCGCTATATTATCTCTGCTGTCCATCCACTTTATTTTATTAATATCTTCATTAATATTTTCGATCAAATCTCCATAATATGCATAAAATCGTCAAATTCCTCTGGATACCGTATCACTGAGCAGTATAGGTTACAAAACTGTTAACTTGACGGCCAGTTTCCACTAAATATATTACCGTTCCATCTCTATTACAAATTTCCGTTTCTGATTTATTTTCCGGTCTCCTTAAGCCTTTGAAAAAGGCTTTTGATACATTCTTTCCTCTAAATTTGCTTCATAGAATAGAGAAGTTTCTTTTTCCCTAACTCTGCTTGGTTCCATGATATAGGCTTCTCCTGTTCCACAGTAGTATTTTTCTGACGTACCCTCGCTTTCCCATACTTTTATTACCTTTTCTTTCCAATGTCTCACTCCTGTTCTACAATTATGTCGATACAATCATTCGTATAAATTCTCGTTTTTTTGCTGTCATATCCTTTTCCAATTTATAGTATGTATCTACAAGTTTTAGAACGTCATTAATTGGCAATTTTAAAATGATCGCTTACGCAAGTTATTATCGCTACAAATATTTCTAATGGATAGCATAAAGCGTTTTATATGTTGCAATTTTCAAAGTGTAAATCATCATGTCTCATCAAACACGAGCGTGACTCGTGTTTTGTGTCATACCAAAAACACAAGTATATAGCCCTTTCTATTTTACTAAAAACATGGTAAATGGCAGATAAAATAAAAATATAAAAATAAAAAAAATAAATAAATAAAAATAAATAAAAAAACCTGGTTATTTTCACGATTAGACATTGAATCTGATGATTATATTTATCAACAAGACGGATCACCACATCATTGACATTTAGACGTACGTGGCCAAATCGGATAAATAATGTTGAATAGCTCTGAATATTATTATATAATTATTGAACCAACGATACTTTAATTTAATCATTTCAATTGGCTACAATCACAATTTTCCGACTTATACAAAACATATTGGCGACTTCATTCGCAATCCTCACGATGCATTTGACGGATTTCAAACTATAGTCACTTGTTAGTATAATACCAAAAATATTATACTTAGATAATCGATAAAAATAAAAATAATAAAATATATATAACTATTAAACTATGAAACCAGAATTGGTTTTTTCGATCAAAGATTAAATATATAAGCGAACAACTTAGATACTTGGAATCAGGTATTTTTTAACATTTTATATATTTTCTTGTTATAATATTTTTCATAACTTTTTTTATAACAATTATTAAAACCAATCAACAAAACAAATTCACACTTGAACAATAAGTACAATGTGCAGTATGAATAAAATATAATGTCATACTTATGTCTATTCGTATTGAATCCACATTGATTACGATCCAGATATCTAAACAAAAATGTATATGATACAAAAAATGGTTTGAGAGAAAGATCAGCACCAACCGAGTGCACCGTTGCGTTACATAAGTAATCAAAAATCGTAACACCTTCTATGGTTATAAATATATAAAAGTACTACGGTTATTATGTTATGTCTCGTTAGAATGAGAATAATAGTTTTTAACATATAAAAAAAAAAAAAAAACAATTTAAATACATTCACTAACATCATTGGGAGATATATGGCATTAAGTGTATGTATAATATGTGTACGTGTTAATAATTTTACACTTTGCGGTTGATAATTAATTAAATTCTTGCTAAAATACGGGGAAATGTAGTTCATCAGTATAATGTGTATAATGAGTTTTGTTGTGTTGCGTTTACTTTATTTGTTTAAACTTTTATTATTTTTTATCGCACGATCCGACGATGCGCAACCGTAAATTGTACGTATAATATAGTTTTTCACGGTTCATTTCAAATAATAAATTACTATTTTAACGTACTCAACACTACGTGTATGTATCGCAGTGCGTATGATATTAGTGCGGACGGTGCAGCGGTGTTAAAAATATCAGGTAATAATAATATACAATTTTACTATCGTTTTCGTATAATCGGTTTTCAAGGTTTCCTCTATCGGTAGGCAGTGTCTACTCTAGGTGCACTGTAAACGCATTATAAAATACACACGATACGCTCTAAGTACGCGCGCACATGCAAACATTTATATTCCGAATCCGACAAACGTCTCATTACTGTAATGCTTATTACCATCTATTCCGCTTGTGCAACGCTTACCCGCGTACGTGTCTTACAAAATGCGTTTGAGTCCGAAACTGTACGATGTGGACAATGTATAACACCGTATATTTATAATTTCGTAAACATTATATTGCATTTTTCGGGGCAAAACATGTGCCTAAATAAAATGTGTAAATATATACGTATCAGTGGCTTGGTGCAAGAAGGGTGAGTGTCACATTTCGACGTAATTGAGATTATTGGACCAATATCATCATAGTTGAATATTAAATAAATCTTACGATGAAAAAAAATAAACCAATTTAATTCACTACCATACTATAGTAATATCAATTTTTGAGTTTCCACATAAAATGTATACATTGTGTGTTTACATTAAAAATTGGCCAAATTTAATGTTTTTATTCCTGATCATTGTTACAATATGAGATTGGCCCTTTTTTTACCAAACCATAAATATATACACTCGGGTATAATATAAATGTAACTCACTCACCCACCCACTGATCTGGCGTACAGTCAAAACTACCAAAACGATTCATTAGAAATTAAAAATGGGAACATACCTACTTATTAGTTACTATGTGTAAATGCAATAAAGAAGGAATTATTTCACATGGGTCGAAAATAGTTTTATGTGCTTGGCTGGATGGATAATTGTTTTCACTTTTTAATTGCCTAGAAAAATATATTTATTTTGATTAATTTTAAGCTAATCGAGTTAAATAATTACCGATTGAAAAATATACAAATTAAAATGGTATAAACAAATAAATTAAATATCATTACAACAATATTCTTTAATATAAACTTTAATATTCTGTTATTGCTATAAATATTTTTTTAATTCATTCGCTTTGCTTTAAAAATAGGTTTTATTTATAATTCGACTATCATATATCGCATATGTGATTATGATTTTTTTGTATCATTTGACACGTGTATTATTTTTTTTTTTTTAATTACGAACTTTCGAACGCAACTATAATCGAATATTAACTTATTATTACTGCATTTTAATGTGAAAAAAATGAATTTTGAATTTTCCAAGTAAATATGTACTGGTGACAATAATAATGTTCTTGAACACAACGCTCATTTCACATAAATTAATATATCGAATTTATTTTTTGGGTTAAATTAGGGTAAATTAAATTAATTTTTATAATACGTTCGGCGGGCAACGTTATAGCATTAAAACCGCTGCAGTATACTCAGAACGGAAAAAAAAAAAAGATTATATTTTGGAAAAATTAGGTGTCCTTTTACCTTTGAAACCCTTATTTTCACGTCAAACTAGTATTATAAACTCAATGAACGTAGTTACAAAGTGTGTTACCATTTTAGAGAAAGTTAACAGTCAAGTTTAGTGTCATTCGTTAAACTTAACGATTTCCGATTGCGTAAAGAATGCTCGGCATCCATGTTTGCGCTGGACATTGTTTATCCACAGATATAAAAACAGTTAAAAAGTCAAATATCGCAATATAAGCTATTGATTGAATCATGTTTTTGTTTATCAAAATAATTAGTACGATATGACATACGCAGTTTAAACAAAGGAAAATCCTTGAGAGAAGATGGGGTTTCGACCAGACAATGAGATCGCCTTCTAGTGAATATTTATTGCAAACCATTATTTTATTTATTTTCTAATGTAAATCTACGTCAAAGTGCGTCGGGAAGATCTTCAAATAGAATTTGTCGTGTTTTTTATGATGATTACTGTACGTCACATATTACCATGTTGCGTACAATGTTACAGTTTTTTTCTTTCATACACATGGGCTGCACGTGATAGCTCGGCAGATATTCGATTGTATTGTCCGACCACCACCGTATTTTAGTCTGCATTCACGTGAGCCATAGTGCGTGTTATCAAATTAATTATTACTGTATTGTATCGGCGTAAATATATCCCGGAGATTTTTAATATCTCCGTTTTACGTAGTCTTGGTGTAATACTGTACTCTTTGTGTCCTATCGATGAATACGCGTAATAATTTTTCGAAGAAAAAAGCAACGCGTATAACTCAAACTTTTACGACGGATATTTGCATAATGCCGTTGTGATCTTCATTTTTGAAATACGTTTAATGACTTCACGTATCTACCTGCGTATTTTATTGTTGTAGATTACTTTATTTTTTCCTCCTTGCTTTTCCGACGGAAAAATTTCAAAACGTTATATATACATGTATAATTTATGATCTGGACGATGTTATACGTTTCCTTTTCGATCGTGGCTCATTATATTTTATTATCTCCGGTGATTAGAACGCCGTTCCATGGCTCCCACAAACTTTTGTACCGGATGCGGTGTTACGGACTATGGGTACACCATACTATCGCTCTCTGATGAAGAATCTCTTGCTACGCCCTGTATAGTGTATTACAAGCACCTATATTATTTTTTATTGGTATTCATTACGGCACGTGGATACCAGTTATGTAATATCCTATTATGTCATGTTACAGATCCGCATCGACGAGTGGCTCTTAGTTCCAGTATATAGCGTTGAAACAGACCTACGCGGCCTGAACCGCAGCAAAAACATGCTGATGGACATAAACAACTCACTGGATCTTCGACTTTTTAAAATATATTAGCGATCGTCAATCTGAGTAATGAAATAATGTTTTTTAAAGAGGACGTGCCAAAATAATGGTATAAAAAAACCTGGAGGAAAAGGTGCTACCGTGCGTAGGTTTACACTGTGAAGTAAGGTATACCAGATCAAAATTATCCTCTATGGACTTCTATGGACGGTACCAGATCAACGGTCCAGGGTGAGTAAGAGCAGCTGTTGCATAAATGAGAAACACCTACGGTGTCATCACACCACCATTCCACCAAACAGTTATGGAATTTCCTATAATTTGAAGATGTATTACAACAATATTATAAAAATATAATTCATAAGCCATGTAGTGGTTACTAACTTCAACCTAGAAATAAAGGTTCTGATTGCTGATAATATATACAAAATACGTATTATGTGTATATGTGTGTGTACTCGTATTAATATTAGTTAATTAAGAATTTACTTTTATCTATTCAATCTAATTTTATTTTATTTTTTATCAATTTGCCATTTATTAATAATTAAATGCAATGAAAAAATTAATATTATACAATCTACGTTTTCCTCGATGAAAAATTATTTACAAGAGCCGGGGATAAATGATCTACGAATTTGGTACGAAATTATTGTTACAAAATGTAATTTTTATGTTGTCAAATTTTATAAGAAAAATGTTTGTCGAAAAATGTGTGCATTAGTGCGTATTCGATAAGATAACGCTGTGATAGTCGAGAAAAACATTACATTACAGCTTGTGAAATATCTGACTTCTGAATATTGAAATTTTTTAAATTCAAAATTCGATTAATTATTTACATTGTACATGAATATCTATATAACGTTATGGTTTTAGGAAAAGTTCATGTTCGAGATATTTTTACTTGTATACTTGCAATTATTATCATAGTTGTTTCTTATTTTATATAACAACAGACAACATATTTGTCAAGAATAAATGACAATGGATTAATTATCATGTGTGGTCTAATTAAAACAATAATGGTATATTGTTATATTATTATCATAATAATTATTATTATAATTATTATAATATTATAATATTATTAAGTTATCTACTCACTGAATTTTAGTATTTGTTTTTCTTTTCTATGTATAAAACACATATATGTAATATTATATGATTTACTAACTCAGCGCGAATGTTTTTAATAATTTCTAGACTATTATTACACAAAATGTTTATAACAAATATATTTAAACGAAAAGCAAATAAATTATGATTGTATGTATTCAGAGGCGTATTTAAGTAGAGGCTATGAGTCCTGTTGCTCAGTGTGCTATATTTTTAAAACTTTAAAATTATGATACATTTTTATTTCATAAGTTATACACTATACACTTGACCAGGGGTGGTCAACTTTTAAAAACTTGTGATCGATTTCTGAGTTTTTCAAAGTTGTCACGATCAACCAAAAAAAATAAATAAATAAATAGTTGACACTTAAGTAAAAATATATTTTTTATACATGCATGTTACATGTTACACTTCCTTAATTTTTTCTATTTAAAATAATAATAAGTAATAATAATTTTACTTGTAGTTTTACAATCTACGTTTTTTTTTTTTTTTTTTGGTCTTAAATTCTACATAATTTAGTTTAAAATACGTACAAGTGCAATAATAATATGTTATATGTACAGCTACTGTTCAAGTGGATTGCGTGCTGTCACCAGCGTGTTCCTCGAGGGTTTCGCAAACTTTTCCGACGGAACGTTTCACTACTAGGTCGACCTGAGTGCACACAATTGACAAAACGATTCGACGTCAAGTTCCTATAGATCGGTTTTCCGCAACAGATAAAATCGATAAGTAAAACGCGACGACGGTGCACGATCACATACCATTTCGCATCAGGGTCCGATTGTCCGCAACATCGCCCAATTTCCAGTAAAAACCGTTGACCGTTTTCTTCACGGCGTGTCGACATTTGAGATCGTTCAACATGAACAGCCGGACCCGTAAATCTTACGCGGGAACAATACGCTAAAAACCGAAACTGACGGGATTACTTGCAATTTTCCAGGGTGCACATTTTTGCTCACGCCGTACGCCACCTGCGAGCCCGTCGTTGGATCGTACGTTTGGGGTGAATCGCACAGCACGCACAGGCACAACCTCTTCATTTTCTCTCCGAACACGTGCACGACGGCCAAATAGGGTGTCGTGTACGTCTTCGGCTTTAGAACACAGACTCACGTACGGACCGTTGTTGTCTGGGTCGCGGACGACCATAGGCGTGTTTACGGCTATGGACACTCTGGCAATGGCCAGACCTACCAAATCCAGCTCCGTTTTAAATGTATGCTTTACTTGTTAAAAATAATTACTAAAATGTAAAAAGAATGATTAAATAAAACAGAATTAATTAATAAATATTTTCACATAAAATATTATATATATATATATATGTATATATATAATATATATACTAACCAATAATATTTATTACCTAACATTGTGTATCAGTCACTCTTTCTCTTTTTTGCATATTTTGTGTGTATTGGCGTATTTGGCATATATTTAATTTTTTTTTGTGTTAATAGCACATAATATTTTATATAAATTTAGCGAAATCGTTTTTTGTGGATCAAAAAAAATTAGATCAATACATTTTTGAATTTATTCTTATTTACTTTTCCGAAATTATTTATAAATTTTTAGTATTTTATAAATATTTTCATTTTTTATGACACTTTAAAGTCAAAAGCAGTACCACGGAAACAATGTTATTGCGCACCACTAGCACTCTCTTCCTATTGACGTGTCCATTGCTATCTATTTTCGTTGCAACGTGTTTTCATTAATTATAATTTTAATAAAATGTAACCGAAAAAAAAAATAACTTTTAAAAATATAAATGGTTAATTTTTATATTTTAAAAAATGCTTATGTATTTTTTTTCGTGCATAGTTAAGGACTTTTAATGCATATTTTATCAAATGTTGGTGCATTATTGCATGTCTATTTATGCGTTTTTTAATGCATGAACGTACGAGCCCTGATTATAACTGTTATTAATAAAATAACTACATAACGATTTTTGTATACTGCATACTAAAATAATACAAAAAAAAAAATTGAATATTTCGAACATTTTAACATCAATGTTTTTTACCCATCCCTAGCCTATAGTGATGAAAGTTTGTAAATATTTCATAATATTTTTTTCAAGAAATAATGTATCATATTTTTGATGTCCACGCCGCTGCCGATAAAATTTAAATTTATACTAATCGATAATGTAAGAATAAATATGTTAACTATTAATTAACAAATTTGCTAACTTTACTTAAGACAAGTGTATTAAGGTAAATTTTTATTTTATTTTTATTGAAATTAAGTAGCTTTATAATATAATTATTAAAAAGGTATCTCGATAGTTGATTTAACAGAAGATCTTGAAGAAAAAATTTTATATTTTCAGAAAAATGAATGCTTCAAAAGTATATCACTATTTTATTCTTAATATAAAAATTCAAAATAAAATTAAAAAATACCCGAGTTCGCAAAATATTTCATGTACAATTAACACAAAAATAAAAAAATAAATATACTACAATATATTAATTTTAATTACAATATTACAACGCACATATTGAAGACAATAACCCTAATTCTCATTTATAACAATTATTTCTTCCTGAAAATGATTGATAAGCTTACAGTTTAAGCTTAAGTTTATAAACATCATTCAAGAATAAACGCATAAAATGATTCCAGCAAAGGAAAATTAAATATATTGTCGATAAATAAATTTATTTTCCCTATATAAGCTATATTATTAGTCCAATTAAAAAGTCCTCATTAATCGAACTCCGAAAAATGTATGTTTTATTCCTGACTCCATAATAAAACAATTGGTTTGATTTAAAAAAAAACCTTAAACGAATGTACCGAAAATTAATTTAATATCTGTTACTCAATAGAAATATTTTACAAAAGTATATATGGACGTTTTTTTTTTTTATCAATGTATGCATATTATGTATAACACAAGTAAATTGGGAGAAAAATATGTTCTTACAATAATTAGGATTTTATAACCAGTATGAAAATAATACAAAAGTATTTTCACAAATTTATGAGTATGTATCATAATTTAAGCTTTTAAAAATACAACAATCTAATTCTTAAAAAAATAATAGTTACTAATTAAACGATGAGTGTATTTCATAATGTAAAAACTAAATTTCAGTTGAGCCAATACATTCTAAAGGTAATTATTTAACTATAATTTTCAAACCGTAATGTACATTTTTAAATAGACACATGACTGAAAAATATGTCAATTAGTTCATATTACAGCAAATATTACAATACTCAAAAAAAAATATTAATTTAATATTCCGATGAAAACGAAAAAAAAAATATTGTTGGTATATTATTATGTTGTACTTTGTGTATGTTTTGTTTATTACTTTAAAAGTTTTGCACCGAGTATCTTCGAGTTTCGCATCAGCACTATTTGTTCCGTTTGCCGAAAGAAGCATTATGTACACGTGCAAAAATAAAGATAGTGGAAAAATATGTCATATAAGGTCTACAAGTAGTTTTAAAGTACACAAGCCAAAAATTTTTATAAGTTTTTGTGCTTAAAAAGAATACTTTTAACTTAGTATATTTTAAAAAAACATAATAAATAAGAAGCAATTGTAAATGATAATTAATAAAAACCAAAAATAAAAATTTTTTATAGTAAATACTTTTGTAACGAAGTAGTATAATATTATCATTAATGAAAAATTAATTGAATGAATGAAAAAAAAATTCTTGTCTACGAAAATTATTATATAATATATATAAAAATATATGACAGGCTTCGATATGAAAATCATCAAGAGGTACAAAATTAATAATTATATTTAATGTAACTGTAAACAAAAAATTATATTCGGAAAACATATCAATACAAATTAAATAAATAAATGACAATCATATAAAAATATAATTTTATATAATCAATCTCTTTTACGTATTCAATAAATCATAAATGAGAAGTTAAAAATAATTTTTAATTTTATTGAGAGCATAATAAATAACTGCAAACGCACATAGGAGCATACTCGAAATTAATGAACGTGAATCAATACCACATAAATGAAATATAACAGATATTAGATAAAATATATTTTATCATGTACGTATAATAAATTGCGATGCATAGCTCTATATATTGGTAAAAATATTGAGCTTTAATTTGTATTATGGACAATCTTGAATACCATTTAATAATTTTATATGTGTATATTGAAAAAACCAAAAACAATAAGCCAAAATGTAAAAATCAAAAATTTTATCTTAAACAAATACTCATAAAACAAATACTATTGTTGCAATAAGTTGCGCCTGTTAAATAAATATTTTATAGTTTAATAATGATTAATGGTGTACGAGTGTATGCAGTGTTTATTTCAGACCTTCTATCCCGGGGGATTATCGTACATTTCCAAGGGGGGATGCCTTAGAAATAAATAATTAAGGGAAGTAAAAGTATGGTTTTAAGCTCAATTTATTGGTATTAGATAGATACCTACAAATACGTAGATTCTTAAAAATCTAACTTTGGTTAATTGTATGAAAAAAAGAAATAGAACAGACATTTACTATACATACGTTAAAATATATGTGGACAGACGACAGCACATTATAAAAATTACCCACATGCGACAAGGTATCTAAAATCAATTATGTTGACGTACAATTTGATAAATATTAATTGACTATTGATATACGAAAAGGTATGTCGTATACTCCGAACAAAATCGTACTTTAGACACAAAAAATATAATTTTTATAAAAGTATCAATTAAAGTAACACATATGTTTCTATAGTCGTCTTGTCTACTGTCTACTGACTACCACGGAAGAACTATTTTATTAGTATGTCCTTTCTCTTATATACATTTAGATACCTATAATAGTTATAATAATAATAATAATAATAATAATAATAATAATAATAATAATGATAATAATGATAATAATAATAATAATAATATAATAATTTGCTTACATGCTAATAGAAAAAATTAAAAAAATGTTTATGCCAGCTTATTTTCTAGTATGACATTAATATGACCTGAATTTAAATTGCCTGATACTATTGATAATACCCCAAAAAAATATTACACTAAATATTTATTTTATTATTTTATATTGACGTGACATACAAAATAACTCATGATTGTACAATAACTCGTTTCACATATTATCACATCAAAATTATTTGTAGTTTACGTAATAATGTCGTGCATTTTGTCGGGGGGGGGTATTACCCCCCTCACCCCGGTCATCCCCCTGAAATGAACACTAAATGTATGATACGAGACTAATAAATAATATGTGTATATGTTAAAAAAAAAAATATCATCAGACAACAATAAGTAATTAACTCGATTTTAAAACGTTAAAAATATTAAAAAACTTGAAGGAATTGTTATCATTCATTAGTGCCCGGATATTTGTTCACAGTTTTATCTGCTACATTTTTCCATTTCTATCAGCCGAACAACGAGCATTATCCAGCTCCGTAAAATAGCCGGACTTCTTACGGTTCTTATTCATCGCGTCAAGTGTCACCTAATGTTGGATAAATTTAGTAGGTACTCCAACCCAATCCGACCACTATCCGTATCTTCGTTTCCCCGGGATGCCGATGATTTCCATTTCCTCGTGATCTCACGTTGACGATACGCATTAAGCCATGTCTGTAGACCAGGGGTCGGCAACCTGCGGCCCGCGAAGTAATTTTTTATGGCCCGCACAAAGGTGGTTAATTTTTGTGTTTTATTTTTGATCAATTAATTTTTCATAGAATTTTCAATACTATTCAATATTATTTTCTTTATAAATGCAAGTAAAATTGTTATAATTAGCTAATCGGAGTCGAAGATAATAATGGTTTCATTACTCAGTCATAGGATAAATTAAATATACTTATATATATTTAAAAATTAGAATTTTAAATATATTTAATACATAAGTATATAATATATTTAATCTATGATCATAGGTACTTTGCGTTTGTAGCAATTAGTATTACACCGTGTTACACCTATACGTGTGACTGCGTTTGTAATAGTTTCATTTTACAAGTAAATCCAAACATTATGGCGACTAAAAAAAGAATAATTTGTAATAAATATCGTTTTTTTTAATAATTCATGGGTTGATTTATACTTTTTCGTCGAAAACAAAGGTAAGCCATTATGTTTAATTTGTCAAAAATTAATTTTTTTCAGTAACATTCGTATTTCTATGTAAAATAATCAAATATAATAGCAATACAGTTATTAGTGTATATCATATGTAAAAAAATTTTTTTAATGTGGCCCTTGACAAAAATTTGAAAAAAAAATATGGTTCACGTGGTTCAAAAGGTTGCCGACCCCTGCTGTAGACGATTAATTTTCGCTGTTAACCGTTGTAGCTCACTGTTGACGACGACGATGCTAATTTTTCCCTAAATCGTTATTGATTCATCGCATTCGCTCAATCGTAACTCCTCCAGGTCACAAAGTATTGCACGTGTTCTAGGGAAACCGACCAGATCGATATAGTTTCGTCGTCTGATTCCTGTACACATTATAGGTGATTTTCATTTTGAATTAGACGACGATTTTCACACGCTCGCCAGAAAAAACCAACTAAATTATATCTACAGCGATGCAGGTGAACTCTGTGGTCGTGCAAATATAATATTATTCCGCAATTATAACCCAATACGAAATTTAGTATTGATGACAACATATTATTATCCACTGTTGTCTCATAATAATTAAGTTTCGTATGCATTTCAACCAAGCCCAGTTTTATTTTGTCGTATCATAATTACATAGGTCGAAAATGTATAAGTTAGTTTGAAAAAAAGTTTTAATAAAGCAAGTAACGTGTAACAGCTGACGGTACATTTTTGTCGAGTACGTGTAACCGAAATAGCAATAACATGGCAACTGTGATTTGAAAACGAAGAACATTACTAAGACAAACGTCAATCAACTTATTGGCCGGTTGACAGTTTTCACTTTGATGTTCAAAAGTTAGGATTCTCTATAGCCGTGAACGTGAATTGCATTACATGGATTTGTATAATATTTATGTAGAAACATACTCATTGCATTGGTGCAAATGAAATTCAATCAAAATGATAATTACTAAAACAAAAATATTTTATTAAAGTTATATTGTTAATTTTGTAATTGCGCTAAAGTTAATATTATATGTATAATTATTCAAAAGCTGATTCTACTAATGGAATCAATTTTCAACTTTCCAACGGGCCTATGGCCAATGGCTTCTATATTATTACATAAATTACGTTTACTATGCAGTTTGTCCAAATAATATGTTCAGTAATTTTAAATTCTTAATCTTCATAGAATGAACGATTTTCCGTGGAAAACTTAAATGATATATTTAATTATACCCATAGAAGATAAAGTGTATTCAAAAATATTAAACGATAAAAAGGTTAAAGAATATATTTGAGTTAAAAAACGAAACAGTTATTTTCTCTATGCACACATAATTCATTTATTATATGAAATTCTGCAATGTTGTAGTCACATTCCCAATGAAATGGCTTGGTTATTTATTATTATTATTATTATTTTTTTTTTTATTATTTTTTTTTTATAAGTATTATTATTATATCTTTTTTTATTTTGATCATTTTACCGCTATGGAAAAACTTAGTTTTTAAACAAGGTTATTGTAATCATCTATGTCTGAACGACTGAAAGGAGCTCAGTCAACATTTTCACAAAATATGCCTTTAAAGTTTAAAATGCTCTAACATTTGTTAATTTAAAAAAAATATATAGTTTACAGATTTTTTCGAGTTATACAATTAATAACATTTTGAAATAAAATGTATAATTAAGTAATTATGCAAAGCAGTTTACAAAGAGAGAAGGAGAAATTCAAGTTTACTGTTCGCATACAACGACGAAGAACGATTGATTACTTACATAATTCTAATGAGACATTGAGAAAACGGTTGTGTAAACTGATCAAGTGATTTATAATTAATATAATATGAGGAAATAGATTTAATCATATTCGTCTACGATCAGTTCAAATAATTAAGCTAAATTAAACATGTCAACTCGGGAGAACGATATAATTATTATCATATTTAGTAATTTGTATCAGATGAAATCTCGCGATGAACACTCAAAATGAAAAAATATCCGTCGGAATATCGACGTTAGAATGCCATGTTGCCGAGACACGGATGCGATAACGCAATGGTCTAGTGTGAAATGTGATTATAACATTATTTCGTAGGGGTACCTATGCCACACTAATATTCGACAGCTGCGGCGGGATTAGATCGAACGCGGTAAAATTGTCCGACCCCGACCGTATTTGCACAAAGTTCGTTCGATCGACGTCGGTGGACGGGGTAGGGCAAGGTTACAATATTTGCCTACATTACGATCGCGAATGCTCGTGAAAGCAGAGTACACATACTTATGCACGCGCGTTCGTACATGCGATGTTCTTCATACCGGGGACTAAAATTGTGTGTAATTTTCACTTTGGATGGAAAAAAAAAAAAGTGAACCATGAAGTACTGCAGTAACAATCGCAATGCTTAATATCGCATGCGATATTTGAAAGTGTGCAATAATATTATTATTCGTCGGAGTCGCCGTAACGGTCGGGTAATTAATCGTACACGAACAAAAGAATCGGTACTGATTCGGAACGAATTACATGATTTCTTCGGTAAATTCAAATCGACATTAATCCGGTATCATCGCGGGCAATAAACATTTATTTAAAACTAAATGTTTAGTACGAGCAATCGGAAATTTCGTGATCCCGTCCTGTACGTATTACGTTACAGTGGCGGTTCGTTGTCACGGGATGGAAAGTAAAACGATAACGGCACTCGGTCGCATCGTACATGTAAAAAAGTCACACGCGCACGTAGACCGTCAAATCCGTTTGAAAAATCGTCGTACGGCGGTCGTGTTGCTCTCGCGGCGGAGCGTATGCGAAAACGAAATACGTACACTCGGACGATGCGCATAAGTTTTCGAGAGGTCGGAAAAAAAAAAAATAAGGGACGTACAAGAAAAATAAAATTATCGTAATAAAAACGATCTCGGGCGAAGTGTACACGCACGCACGAGCGCGATACGGGTGGAGGAGTCGGGAGTAGCGAGGGGGATGGCGGCGTCCCGGTCGGCGACGCTTGCGCTCGAGGGCGTTTCGCGCGCGCGTATCGACAGCGCTCCGTCCCCGGACGGTCAGTTGGAATCCGAGCGCGCGGCGTGCAACCGTCGATCCCGCCGACCACCCGACGACGTTCTCCGTGCACCGCCACCAACACTAGCACCAGCACCAGCAGCGGCCCTGCGGTCCCGTTTCCGCACGCCCTGCGAACCCGGAGGCCATCATTTACTGTTGGTTGAGCTCGTCGTCTCCCACGGGGCGACACAACTACGGTCCGCCCGCGCTGGGAGGCAAGAGAGGTAATTATGCGCCGCCCGCGGTCCGTCGCGACATCGTTGCACCGCGGTCGGTCCCGGACGGCACTTCGCGCGCGCTGCGACTATCCTTTCGGCGCTGTCCGGTAACTTTGCCCATCACAGTTTTCGCGCCCCGCAAAGCAACCCGATCGGAAAAGATCCGACACTGGTACACCCAGACCTATGGTCGGTTTTAACCAATCGAAACAACTATCGCCCATAACCGTACTATCTTATCGCCTGTAAAAATCCGTGGCGTAACAGTTGCCATCCCGTAATCACTCTTAGGATGTAACTGACGTTGAATAACTTCGGGTACACCGATGTAATCGCGTGACTAGTGCAATACTTTCGGCTCTTCCTTGAATAGATTTTTAGTCGATCGTTACATCGAATAAGCCGTGTAACTGACTTAGATTAGGTCGAAATAAGTGATATCTCCATCCCTTCCACAGCAAGGAAATCGTTTAACGGAATACTCGTCTACCGAATCCTTCCATAATAGACCTGTCTCGTTAACCGTGTAATGGAATTTTGATGATTTTTCGATTGTCAGGAAAACGTATTGTTTGGTGCACAGTTGTAACGAACCTCGAGTTCGACTAGCAGCTATCGATATTTTATTAAAAGACCCTTACACCTAGTGGAAACGAATAGTTCGAAAACATTATTACTGTGGTCGATAAAATCTAATATTATTTTAAACACAAATACACAGAGTTTCCCTTCGAATAACGTGAACCGCGTGACTATCAACTACGTGATTGCGGTGAACTACTTAACGATAACGTTTGGTAATATCAGTGGACCGAACAGATGTTTTAGCGCTGTATTGTTTCAGAATAAGAAAAAGGATCGGAAAACTTAAACTATTAGTTCTTCGGTAAAATTTAACATTATTCTCGCAAATTTTTTACAATATCTCACTAGTACAATGTCGCTATGACTTTTGTTTTTATATTTCACATCGATCCGACGGCAACGCGTCGAAAACAGAACATTATGCATTAATCTCTCTCGCTATAGTATCCGTCTTCTGCACCGCCCATCTCGTCCACACGCCCTCGGTTGCGTTTGCGTACGACGGACAATTTTTTATACAATCATTATAGTGTGTATATGTGTAACGTGATATAGCTTACAAGACGATATGTTATCTGTCCACAGGCACATTTCCGAACGTGGCCATGCAGGAAGTAGAAAGGGCCAAGGCCAGGAACATGGCGAAAAAACAAAACAGTAAGTGTGTCAAGTTTTTAATTATTTCACGATAATTTTGTTATTGTTACGTAACGTTGCTACCGGAGCGAACTCGCCAAAACAATATTGTCAGGCCGTCGCCGTCGTCGTATCATGCGTATCATGCCGTTCGTCGCATTCAAAACGTTTTTTTCCGTCAACAAAATAATAACGTTTAAACCGAAAAAATGTTCGGTATAATTATAACGTTATACTGTACTCAAAATGTTCATCATTAGCCGATGAAATGTACCGCCGAACAACCGATAAGTTCTTAACTGTGGTGTTGATAAATTGTAATAGTATCTCTAAGACTTAAAATCCATGGCGTTCGTCGTTTGTAGGACATATTTACAAACGGTTGCAATAATCGGGTACTTTACTGTTTGAACTATTAACCGAGTACGCATGCAAGGTAGTGTGTCACAACGATAATAATAGTTACTCTTGTGTTACGCCACGGGTGTACAACAGATCGTAACGGTACATACGATTTGAAACGAAATCGTGTGTTAGGCTACAATCGGCAGTCATATAGCATCATGTCGAGCAGTTAAAGTTAGACGATCCACCGGTCATAGAACATAAAATAATGTAGAATTTGTACTAAACGACATCCCGGTACGTATTGTACTACGTCATTTTGCGGCGTTATAACTGTATATGGTACGGATTTATTGGAATAAAGTATTTGTAATCTAATGACAAATGTAAACTGTTTGAATCAACACTTGTTGAAATAACACTAATATTTTTCTTACATTTTTTTTTTTTTTTTTACATATTATTTAATGCACATTTGCAGTTTAATGGTGAATACACCTGTTCTCATCATACAGTGCAACGAGTTAAATTGATAAATATGATTCTAATAATATATTTTTCTTTAAATTTTTTAAATGTCGATTAATTTTTTACGAATCAAACCAATATTATTAATATTTATTGGTTAAAAATTAAGGACATACGACTAGATAACAATGAGGACTATAAATGCTTAAGTTTTCATTCATCTTTTTTCCATAATAAAAATCTAAAACAACTAATTTTTTTGTCATTCAATTGGAAAATAAACGCATATTTTGTAGCTTATTAAAATATTTTCAGAAACATATTTTAAGGGTTATTTTTGCAAAAGGACGTCCGTTGGGAGGACATGTCTTTCCTGAACTTTACGTGTCTATTTAACATTCAGATATAATATATTACGATAATTAATTTAAATTAAATGTATCGTAAATTTATTTTGTCAGTTAAACTTATCTCACATGGACAAAGCTTTACCACGGGAGAAAAAAATCCGGGAATCGTACTAATTACGAACCTATTGATAACGATCGCTGAGAGACAGAAAGGCACCAATCACACATACCCTTTTCCTAGATTTTTGACGATGGACACATGTGCTTATGCATATACATCCGTTTCCTAGTGTTAACGTATTATTATTTTAATTGTATGCATGTAACCGACGTCTCGCACATGTATAGGTTTTCGCTCCGTTGTCGTTTTTGTAACAAAATGTTAACATACACACTGGAGTATCGTCGTCCCTGAATATTTGCGTTACGGTGCAGTAAAATACTTGTAATACATGCACCGCGTACACGACCTGCACGAGCATAGTGCGCAGAGCGGTCCAACATTTTCCGATGCTATTTCGGGGTACAAACTGTCTTCACGATGCGCCCTGCGGATACGAACACCAGTGGCGTATTTGTGAGAGGAGGGAAATAGAGGTATTTGCCCCCCAAGGCTATTTTTTTCATTCTTTTGCAGAAGCTGTAATTTTTAATTGTATTGGCTTTGCTAAATATTCATAGGCACAGGGACATTCAAATAAATAAGGTAATTGATTTGTTTGCTGCCACGAAAAAAAAGGAATATAGACCTTATATTATACTTATTTTATGGCAATATTTTTTGGACTATAACTGTACAAGTTTGAACCAGTGTCTAAAATCTTAATCGAGTAAAAAAATAAAAAAAAAACATTGTATTCAAATATCCTTATATTGTAACAGTAAGATATTTTTGTATTTTGCCCCCTCCCCTGAAAAATTATCCTAAATACGCCACTGAAGAACACGAGTATATGTGCAATTCATGTCACGTCATTCGACGGAGTTCCGTACATACACGGATAAACGCCAAAAATGACTTTTCAGTATCGGAATTTTATTGTTTAAAAACACTACTCGCGGCGACATGATACGGTTAAACAAAGATGTCGATCTGAAAAACTAAAAAAAAAAAACTTGACGTGTCCATCCGATTTCGATAGTAATAATATTTTTCTATACTTCTTGGGGTTCGTCAATTCTTGGCATACGTCCTTTCTGCTCACTATAGTCAACTATATTATGTCGTATATTATTGTACCTTGACAACAATGATGCGAGATATTGGAAACTATATTACGCGTTCGTGTACAATATTGTCATACATTTTCGCTTGACATCGTGGCGTCAACAAGTCATCGTGACCATATTTCACGCGTTTGAAAGGTCGTCAGTGATGTTGGTCTACGCATCGTCGTATATTATATTATATTACAAGAACGAGACATTACGCGTTTATTAATAAAACCGAACTGTTAGTGATTTTACCCATTTTTTACGGAACACGCATAAGATATTGCGATCCGTACGTCGTATCCAAAAATCTCACGTTCGGGATAATGGGAAAATGGACTTGTTCAGGAAAACTATAGTTTTGTATAGTACAATCTGTTCGTTAACGATTCGTTTCAGTATTGATTAACGTCCTAAATGAACGGATAGTGGTAGTACAAATGTTAAACAAAATATCATTACGAAAAACATGAAATTATATTCAACTGTTAGTTTCTAATCAACAGTGCATGTTACATAGCATGTAAGTAGATATATAGAACAAATGCACCACTAACAAATGAACAAAATTAATTTTGAAACGCCATTGAGGCGAGGCTGCGAAAATTATCCACAATAAAGTTATTCAAGGAAAACTATTCATAATATTGTTTTGGTAGCGAACGGGAAAAAATCAATTTTGTATCGAATGTTTCTTTGTACGTGGTAAACGCACGGATTGGCATTATAGTATGATTTTATTGAATACAAGTTCTTAAAAGTAAATTAGAAAATTTAAAAAAACTGTAGGTAACACATTTATGTGACTTCCATTATAAAATTATACGACGCATTTGATTCAATTTTCAGGCACGGTAGGTTGTTATTTTTTATTTTTATACAAATGTTGTTGAAAGGTGAAGTTCACAATCCCATGGTTTTTTTTTTTTTTTTTTTTTTTTTTTATGATACGATTACGCGTGTAAGTAATGTCGGTAAAGTAGTTTCGTTAGGTCAAGGAAACGTGAGCAATTTGTGGAATCCGGGTGTGCGACTGTATGTGTATGCGATATGTGCGTGAGTGTTGGTTTACATTTTCAGGGTGCTAAGAATGTTGTGTTCTAGATTTAAAAATTCGAAACACTCTTATTTATTATGCTGTAAACCAAATTGTAACTAGTGCATATAAAAATCTGAATAACGAATATTTTAATGCCCGTATACGAGTTGTATATTATTATGAATTGTTTATTTTGAAAAAAGAAAGTCATAAATGATCGTTATAAATGATCTGCTTAATTGTTTTATGGTAACAAAAAAAAATATAGTGCATCGAATTGCGCAACATTGTTTTATTTAAAAATCGATTTCGTTTCGACTTTTCGAAAATTAATAGTATTTATTGGAACGTAAGAATCCACAAAAAAAAAAATAATAAAATGCAGTAATTTAAGTTGGGCAAATAACCCTCTACCTTTAAAGATAAGTAAGCAACATTAGAGATTTCGGTCTAAATTTTTTTTTAAACTATAACATCTGTGTAACTAAAAATGTATATTATAGAAAAAATAATATTGTTCATTTTCGAGTTTGATAATAGCTGAGCAACAAAATTCGTATTGTTTGATAAAATCAATACTTTATGCGAATACTTATTTAAACATTTTTATTCCAAATAAATTACATAATATATTGAAAAGAATATTTGTCGAAATAATTAGTGCTATAGTGATCGATGAGACAAACAAATACATTCTAAAGTTCAATTAAATAACGGGATATAATACGTTTATTAACTGATAAATATTTCACTGGCATATAAACAACGACAGCGATATATTAACTGTTTGCAGGATTATGCATAGACAGTATTGATATTAAAAATATTAATTTTCAATTATTTAATTTTTTTTCAATCAAATTTTCATTTGAATTTTATATAAAAACTGATAAAATGTTAATACAAATTAAACGAGTCAGTATCAGCCAGGTGAATTATCTTTATGATTTGTTTGGTTTTATTTTTATTTTTTTTTTTTAGTTTTTTGTAAGTTTGCTCAATTGATACTCGATCTTAAGAGGTTATTGTTATACAGATGCATTGTATTTTATTACTGTACATTTGGTATAGCATGAAGCGTAGGGCAGTAATGACCAGCTCGTTATCCAGGAAATTTCACTGCACGAAGTCGGGGCTTAAAATAATTCAAACGCACTTAAAACGTTTTACATGTATTCGCATATTAAATATATAGTAATAGTCTTACATCGATGGTTTCGGATGAAATAATAATTATTATCAATAGAATCCGAAGACTTTCTGCCGGAACAGTTTTACATAACTATACTATGCAATTGAAAACGGTTATCAGAGCCAATCGTATCCAAACGTGTTCATAACGTGACCCGACTGTTAAAATATCCCTTAAGCTTGTTCCACTGTATTGTGTCATTTGGTAACCCATCGTAGACACCCTTATACGTTTCGTACGAATCGGTGTCAACAGAAATCGTCATCGTCCACGTGACGGTTTCCTTCAGTATCACATTTACCATGCGAATTATTTATTTATTTTCCGGATTATGATTGTAAACTAACCATGTGCCAATGGAACAGTTGTCAACAATCGGTACGCTATGACTCCGTGTCATTACGAATTCCGTAAACCTACATGCCCCGTGGGCCGTTAACCTGAACGATTGGCATCGCATTGAATGGTTATTCCCGTCGGCGACGTATACAATACATATTTCACCCTCGTGCCAACAATAGTTACATGATAGCTGTGAACGCGTCTTTCTCTAACGTCCCGCGTGCCATTGTTCATTTCTTTCGCGTAGGTATCGTACGAAAATCGCGCGAACGCAGGATTAATATACGCTTACTCAAAGCATTGAACGGCCATTGATGTCAAATACGTTTAAAACGATTAAACATAACATACCAACGATAAAAACTGGGTACCGTCGATGAGTTTCACGTTCGTCCGTGGTACTCACCAAATTGGCTACGATCGGTGATTCCTAGGGTTCAGAAGTTGATGAATTTTGAATTTTTTTTTTTTGGAACTGTTTAGACAATGCTCTCCTGGCCACAAATGTGTTTCATTAGCATGTGAATCCGAATAACTGATTTTTATTCGACAAATATTATTATAATAATTTCGAAACAATAAATATGTATCCGACGCGACAACGTGATAATAATAATATTGTGTTTTATTTAAAGGCAAAGTAGAACGACAGAAATCTTCGGAAAAAACGCTATCCAAAGTACCAAGTATCGAGACCAAAAAACATGAAAAATGACAAAATCAAAAAAATTCACTCTTATTAAAGGTACTTATTTTATCACATTATTGTTATTATAATACATTTCAACGTTATTGTTTTGAATATATTTATTTTTACTCTGGTAATATGCGAGTGTCAGAAGTTTTCAACTATTTTCAACTCACAACCCCTTGAATATTTTCTGTAAATCTTAGAATATATTCAACTTATGATAATATATTGTGTATTTATACTTATATTTTACAACTTCGACTTTTCATACCTTGGTATAACCAATCATCTTATGTAAACAGTTACAGTAATTTATTTTTAATACCAGAGTCGCAATACTGTACTAAGTTGAATACAGCAGTATTACACAAAACCCACATGCTATATTATTATCTTTCATTAATTCATTTTTTTTCATAAAACATTTTGAAAAACATGTTCAGTGGCTCTATTTTTTAAATAAATGCATAATAATGCATTATAATAATGGTTTAAAACCTCTAATTTTCAAAGCATGTTTTATGTTCACTAAAATGTAGTTTTATCGAGAATAAAAAAAAAAATATTAAATATTAATAATAGCTATAAAATATGATGCCGATAAAACAGTCACATTGTTTCTCGTTTTAGTTCAAACTTTAAGTACATGCGCGTTCAAATTGTGCTGTTTGTTGTAATAGGTAGTAATAATAAAAATATCAATTTTTTTATTTTTATTCGTTTTGTTGTTCTGTTTCAGATTTTATTTTTCTAGCACTTTCGCCGAATGATAAAAACACACTTATTCGTAATCAAAATAATATTATGTAACTATTTATAAGTACACGATTATTTATTGTCATTTTATATAAATTTTTAATTCACATTTTAATATTTTTGCGCATTTCACATCATTATTATGGTGTTGATTTCGCGTTAAATTTTAGCACGTTTTGTGTATTAAATGACCAAACATTTATAACGATTAGAGTACAGAACAATTAGTGTTGTATATTATAATAATTTGTAACAAAATATTGCTATATTTATATTGCATATTAATTATATTATTTACATATATTTATTTCGCATAGTATTTTATGGAAACACGAAGCTCAAACGTTGTCCACGGATGGTTACTATAGAATGTATACATATTTTTTGTAAGCGTGTTAGACGTACGTCAAGTATGACATATTAGAAATATATATGTGACACGTGGCTGGAGATAAATAAATGAAAATATAAAAATCCTAATACGAAAATGTACGCGCGATTGTTTAAACTTTAAGTCCTTACATTCCTATGACCGTAAATAACTGACGTCCGATATGTTTACGACTTGGTTTTACGATTCCTGTACCTTTGGATCGCGCGACTTTCATATTACATACACATAACGAAATAAATACAGGACATTATACAAGTTTACGACACCGTACTGGTTTTCTTCGTGTCCTCCATCGTTCTTATCATTGAAATAATTTTTTACATACTATTATACTATATTATACACCCTTGTGTTTATCATGCACGTATAGTCTTACTGCTATGTCATCGCGCGCATAATCGACTAAAACAGTTTTTTTTCTGCAATAAATGTGCGCGATTTCCATCACAATTCCGCATTTTTTTTTTGTTTTTTCGTAAAAAATTTTTAAAAAAAACCAAACGTCACTAAAGTGTTTTCATATTTTCTCTTTGCCACTGCTATACCTCCGTACCTGCAGCAACAACTAACCTATAGCTCAGACATTTCAACAGGACATTCATATAAATACGTACTGTAAGTGACCTATGGCATATAGACAGTTTAATGGCATAGTATCCGACCGGTACGGACAACGAACCGTCCGACTCATATGTGACTCACACATATTTTACTATGTTCAAGTCTTGAATAATATCTAATCAATTAAAATGTGAATCGTTTGACACTTTGTGTAATCTCTGTTTGACGTGAGCAAAACAAATCGAACAGTTTTACAACCAGGACGAAGTAATGAATGTTCGTAAACAGCTAGGAGTGGAGACAGAAATAGAAAAGAATTAGGAGAAAATCGCTCAAAAAAAAAAGTTTGTACGATATCAAATGATTTATCAAATCATAGTCGTTGCGTTGACAAAAAATAAAATAAAATCGATAACTGAAGACTGAAAACGTATTATTTTCATTGTCATTTATTATTATTAGAGGTGGGATTTATATTCTCTTAAAATTAAAAATATGATTTTTTATGTCGTTTAAAATTAATAAAGACAATATACCCTCGAAATATTCTTTATTAAATATTAGATATACGATGTTTTATGTCCTTAAAAATACAAATATTCTTTCAATAATCTGTAAAAATAGAATAAATATTTTAGTTACTCAATTTAAATCTATTATTAATTTGGTTTAAAATAACATTTTAGAAAAAAAAATTGGTTATAATGCCAATTTTAACCGTACATGGATTAACTCTAATATCTAGTGATACATTTTTATAACAACCTAGAATGACATAAAAATAACTAACATAGTGAATACTGTATTTATTGATCAATATTATCGAAATGCTGATGTACGTAATACGAGAATGGATGTGCAGACAAATAATAGGTCATATAATTATTAATTTTTTTTTTTTAATAAAAATATCTATAAAATATTATCGAATATTTTTTAATATATTAAATATTCTCTAACTCCTGAAATATATTTTTTTTATGCGAAATTAATTTTTTTTTTTTTTTATGAATTCCGTGTTTCGTGAATCGAAAAGATACCTTACTCTCATTTAACTTCATAGACTAGAAACAAATATGTAAAATCATAAAAATATGACCTTTAATACCTTTAATTATAATATAACGTGCATAGTGCATATATACTAGTAAGAGGTTATTTTTCAGTTTAGACGAAAGGTATTCGTTCGCTGAAATTTGCCGCATAACCTTTTATTATTTTATATTTTATATGCACAACAGTTTTATTTGTGAGTAACCAATAACGTCATGAAATCGTCCATACACCTACCTGTGTTGAGATTTAAATTTAAGACCACGTCTCGTGCGCACACAACACGCGCGCATCGTTCAACGTGAAAACACGAGAAAGTATATTACAAAAAAAGTAAATAATAGAGGTGCCTGTAACCCATTCGTTCCGATTTTATTTGTTTGGCGTACGCGCGTATTATTACCGTTATGCAAGGTCGTGTTAACGTCACCGAGATACCGTTGTATGTGCATAGAAGCCACGTGCGCGAGAAGGTCACCGGAGAATGCGTCACACGTTTTTGATGGTCACCGGTTCCGTTCGTAACCTACCCCTAAAATATCGACTCGTAGAAATCGATTCGAAACGACTGGAGTTAAGACAATAATAACTAGTTTACTTAACAGTGTTTTGAGAATAACGCCTACGTGACGCACATACACGGCGGTCCAATACCAAACTCGTAACGTCATTCAGATGTGTTGTTATCCTTGTACAACTTCGCTGCGTGCATACGTATTTGTCGATTGTATAAGTGATTTCCAATAAAAAAAACAGTTGTTGTTTGTACGAAACGCATACGGTTTGTTCAAGAGAAAAACGAAAAGATGGATAGAGAGAGAGAGAGAGAGAGAGGGAAAGAGAGAGAAAGAGAGAAGTGGTCGAACGTTTCAAAGCATCCGGAATAAAATACGTGTGTATATACCTACACGTACACTAGATTAATTTTGCAGACGCGGCGCGATTTCTTTAAACAATAATCTTGAACACAGTGGCCACTTCATTTATGCTTGACATATACGAACGCCGATTGATCTTAACGTTCAATGGCATTTCAACAAGTCTCTGAGATGTTTGAGTTTCTACGTACGATTTTTCTTTCATCAGGTTCAGTTGATTTAAAACTTGTTTTTAATATGCGTTTCATACATTTGTCGTCGTTTCGTTTATACATTTAATACGGATGTAAAACTTTTATTACGATAATGTTTCGAGTTTAGAAGCGATATCTCTTTATTCCAGGAAATGGCAATATAATAATCATATTAATATTATTGGACACGTCGTACTTGCGGTGCGCATATATTGACGCACGCTTGCTACCAGCGTTTCTGGCGGTCTTATCATTTTTTTATCGGTGAAATAGTGTTATAAATCTTTACAAGTCTGTAATAAATACTTCTAGCATTCTCCAGCCAAACGTCGTGCATAATATCAATATAATATTTTATCAAACGGGTAAACGAACACACTGTACTACTTACTGTTTGAGTTACTACCGCAATTTGTAAGGTTAAAATAAACTGGTAAAAATCGATCGCGGACACGTTGCGCGATGATGATAAATTAGTACAAATCGATCTTCGCGTACTTTGTACGGTGGTAAATATTTCCATCAATATCTTATTTTAATTCAATATTTATTAGTGGAAATAATTTATTTAATGTTTATAATATTTAATAATTAAATAATGATACACCTAGATTTCATTTTCAAATTTTGAAAGCCATGACATCAAAGGACTAATAATGTAAATAGGACATATAGTTTTAGTGAATAATGGAACAGTTTATTCAATAAATTGGTTGGATCGGCTAATTCAAGTCTCTGAAGTGTTTTGCGACCTTTACAATTTGATGAATGTGTTAGTCATTTAAAGAAAAATATAAGTAAAAAAGCCAAAAAAGACAAAAACCTTTACCAAACCTGTACACAGCACGAATTTATTATTATTTAAGTTGCAAAAACATGGTCTATTGAACTTTAAATTATTATTACCATTATTATATAACGGATTTTTATCTCAGCATGTTTTCCGATGCAGCGAAAAAAAACTTGAAGTTACGAGCTCTGGTTTTTATAGTCGACGTGAAACAAGACAGTATGCGCATATACACCAAAAAGAAAATTTATCGGTGCTAAATTATTTAAACATTTGCAATAAACGAACTTCAGGTGCTTTTGAAAATCGGTTACACAAGACATGGCTTTACATTTTAACTTTAAACAAAGTTCTTCCGCATAAGAACAAAAAGAGTTTATATAATATATATATATATATATATATATATATATATATATATATTATTATTATTATTATTATTATTATGATTTTTATTATATTATATGTATAATCCTTGAAGAACATCATGCACTTACGTCAGTGTTATGACGTCAGTGCACTTGTGTGTGGGCTTCTATATTTGCCCATAAACTGAAAACCGTTTTAATCTTTTCAGCTTGCGCAAACAAGACGAACATTTAACAGTTGAGTGTTTTTAAAAAAAAACTCTAACTGTAAACTGTAAATCGATTTCGAGGGTTCGAGGGAAAAAGTTTACCGCTTTTAATGTGTAATTTGGTGCACAAACATTATAATACTTACCAACACGAAGTGGAGGATGAACCGGACGAGTAAAACACTCGTAAAAGCGAAACATTTCTGGAGCACCACGGCCAAAGGAACGTTACATTACAAATTGGATCTAAACCACAGAACGAAGGCCACGTGGATCGTCTATTGTAATAACTGTACACTAGAAGATTCCTAGATTTACAACTCCTATATTCCAACAACGTTTCCAAAGCTAACCAGATTTCGCGGTTTGTATTAAAAAAAAATAAAAAAAATACTGTTAGCGAAATCGGAAACCGATAATAACATATCACTATCGGTGATATAAGTTGCGCACGTAGCGATTACTATTTATTTTTATATCCGTCCGGCAATCGATTCTGTACAGTGAACGAAGCCACCCATCGTTGCGATACATCACGGTCGCATGGTGCGTAGGCACTACGGGTACGGGTTAGAAACATGAATTGCAGTAGAAGACAAGCGTGGTGTAATAAATTACAACTATATAATATCATGGTGCGTTTACACGGTCCAACGAATTATTTTAAAATCGATTTTTATACGATCCTCGTCGTAACTGCGTGCTGTGCGATGCGTCCCCGTTGCAGGATCCAAACAACCGTAATCTTAGAAATGACGTCATCCACGCGGGGTCGTACCGGAAAAATTCGATTTCAATAACAATTGTTACGTAGGCGGCGACCGTGGTCGACGTGCGAAAACGGGTTAAACTGCTATGATTAAGGGGCGTATTTAAACTTACTTCTCCCATGGGGGGGGGGGGGGGGGTGACTCAAATTTTTCTTTAATTCAGGCTCAAAACTTATAAGTAAAATGTTTGGTAATATTTAAATCTCTTAAGGTTACGCTTATATTTTATTTGATTTTTCACTAAATATGGATCCGACAAAAAGCCCAATTCAGTA